TAGTGAAAACACCAGTGTAAATAGTAGTAGTGTTTTTAACCCAGAACCGACCAGACAATTGGTAAAATCTTTAAAAATATTAGACTTACGTTTAAACTATGATCAACCTCCTGTACAACCAAATATTATTTATCCTTACAAATCCATGGTTAAAAGGAAACGGTCCTTTAATAGTACTTGGTATAAACAGTATCCATGGATTGAGTACTCAATACAATTTGATCAAATTTTTTGTTATTATTGTAGACATTCTTTACTACCAAGTCAACATTGTAACCCTAAAGCTGGTAATCTAACAATTCATGGTTATTCAGACTGAAAACATATAGGCAGTATGGCTAAAGTACATGATAAATGTGACACACACAAATTAGCATTGGCTAAATATAAAGGGTGGTGTAATTCTAAAATACAAGGCAGTGTTACAACTATGATTGACTCACAAATAAGAATTGAAGTTGCAAGAAATAGGACAATGTTAGAAAGTTTAGTAAGGTGTGCCATATATTGTGCTAGGCAAGATATTGGTTTGCGAGGACAATCAGAAACAACTAAAATCTCTGAAATTGTGAATAATGATATTGCAACAAAAAACAAAGGAAATTTTTTAGAGCTTGTAAAGTTATTATGTATTGAAAGTCAAACATTTTGTTCAGCTTATGAAGCGTTACAAAATAGTGCANAGAAGAATACAATTTCAAATTTAGCTTACTATTTTTTTTTTAAATTAGTTTTAACAGTCAGAACTTTTTTGACAGTTAAATTTAAATATATTTAAATAAACATAGTTATACATAATTAGTTCAAAACTATGGATTACTCTATTTTTTTAATATTTAAAACCTTTATTACCTATCTATTATAATAAACCTAATTTTAAATCTAGTGTTGCCCATATGAAAATTTAGTCCTAGATCCGCGCCTAATCGCTAGCTTATCAGTGAATAAGTTCAAACTCTGGGATGTACGCTGCTGACGGGTAGATACACACTAGATAATTAGGTAACAGTAGATAGCGCTTTTTTGTCCAATAAACATTGATCTATTTGGTAATATTCTACACAGACAACGTTTCAAACAGTTAAACTAGATACTACACAACTAAATTTAATTGCTTTTTTTAAATTATCGCATAAATATAAAATTTGGTGTTTGTACAATGTATAGCCAGACACTGATTCGGAGAAATAATGCACTCAATTTTTGAAAAAATTCACATTTCGGCCACGTGTTAAAATAGTAGATACCATTTTAAAACGCATTTCCAAATGTGTTCCGGAAGGGTTTCGGTATCAAGCTATGTACTAAAATAATGTACGAAAGCTCCTCTTTGGGCCCTCAAAATATCTAAGGGAACTGGGGAACGGATTCGGAAAAATTACGTATTTGGACAAAAAATTTTTGAATAATTTTCGGCTAAAATCAACATTTGGATGTTTCTCACATAAAGATGATAAGGGTCACTTTCTATGTTTCGTTTTCAATTAGAACTGCTTTTATCCGTTTTTTTTCTCTAACCCTTCATACTAGCCTTTTGCTCTTTTGGACTAAAAATAATCTTCGTATTATGTTTTACGTCCGCTTAAATTTTCAGAAAAATCCTGTCAACATTAACAGAGTATCACAAAATTTGGAACTATTTGTAGGTCTGTCATTTCCACGTTTCTATCTCAAGGATAAGTTTCTCGGTGGAACTTTTGAGTGCCTTTCGGTTCATAAATGCTAATGTGCATGGTTGCTGCAGGTCAAAGTTCAAAAAATAGTATTTGTTTTTAGTGTTATATGTTATTTAATGAAAAAAAAGAAATACTGTTGATCAGACGCGTAGCCAGGAATTTCTAAAAGGAGGTATTCTAAAAAAAAATGAAGAATCTTTTTCTTTCACGTTATTTATTAGTTAAACACTAAAGAGGACATCTTATGACACAGCAAATTAGCGTTCAGATAGGACAACTTTGTGCCATTAGTTTTGGTGCAACGCAAAAATACCTGGACCTGTATTGGTGTAGGTATTGGTGTATAATAGAGATAGGCATGCTATGTCTATTACGCGCTTTATGCGGTATCTCGGAGTTGAGCTAGACAATAAGCTATCCTTTACCAGTCACATTGGCACGGCATCACGTAAAGCTACAGAGGCCGCTTAAGCTATATCTAGGCTCATGCCCAATATAGGGAGACCATCCCATTGGAAAAGGAACCTGCTGGGAAGTGTGGTCTGTAGTAAACTATTATAGGCATCTTCTATGGCCATCATCTTTTGGCCAGAATGGGCGCTAAAACCGAGAGGTGATATCTAGGGCTCAGAGGACTGTCGCACTACACTCTATTCGTGCCTACCGAACAGTTTCAACCGGAGCGTCCCTAGTCCTCTCAGGGATAAAATCGGTGGACCTTGTAGCTCTCTCGAGAGCTAGAGTCTGGTAACTCTTCGACGATGGCCTCTTGAACATTCCTGCTCAACTAATAGGGAGGGATGAAAGGGAAGTAACCATTAACATTTGGCAGGCAAAAGGCGGAAGATTAATTGTGCGAGGCAGGCGTGTTATATCGGAGCGCCGTGAACGGGCAAGGAGGAGAGGGAGTTGACTCTTGCCCAGTAGCAGGCGTCTTGGACAAGCTCCACAAAACGCGAGTGGACGTGGAGGCTCCTACCTAACTTCGATAGGTCGATATACAGCAGAGGTTCCCAAACTTTTCCTACTCGTGGTGCCCTTTTAGAACTGAAGTTCGCTCATGGCGCCCTTAATAAAATTTACGACCTTTTTTTAAATAAAATAGATAAAAGTAGTCGGCAGCGAGTCACAGCCGCGGCTCCCCTGACAACACACCGCGGCGCACCAGGGCGCTGTGGCGCACAGTTTAGGAACCTCTGATATACAGGCTTGGTAATAAGTCGGTAATTTTTTACTTGGTGCAAGCCCTTACCGGGCATAGTTGTTTTCGCTATTACTTGCATGCATGAAATAGGTTATCAACGGCTAGTTACGTGTATTGCAAGGCGTAGCGTGTTGACGCGGAACACACTATATTCTATTGCACGCAGTGAGGTAACTGCTGCATGCGGCTAGTTGGCTTGCTGAGGAGCCTCACTCCAGAGAACGTCGAGGAAATTCTCTGCGGTCCAGTCTTAGACGTTTTTTAGGCGACTTTTCTCGGAGGCACGACTCGTACAGTAAGCCTTCGTAGATATGGTGGAGGAGATACTTGCTGAGAAGGAGGGAGACGAGACTGCAAACGGCGGTCGAAATGGATATCAAAATCATTTTACTAAGTAAGTAAAATCGATGCGGCAATGAGGAGGAAGGATAGTATTCTGATACGCTGGGAAGGGCGGTCATATTTGCGTCAGGAGATTTAACTGTGCAACGCCCAAGGATAGGCGAAGCGGGGTTTAGGTGGGTAGAGGTTGCATAGATGCGGATCTACAGTTGTTACTAGCCACCAAGTTCTAGCTCAAGCATCGAGGTATTCAACGATTTCCTGGAGCGCCTGAAAGCTAGCATAAGGCAGTCCGAGCTACCAGTCATGGTGGCGGGAGACTTTAACTTCAAGTCGGCTAGCTGGAATAGTCCAATCGAAGCTGCTAGAAGAGTTTTCCAGGCTGACCTCATGGCGTCGTTGGACATGATTGCCTGTAATCAGGGAGGTTCCCCAACTTTTGTTCGCGGGAACTCTGGCACATTCATAGATGTGACATTCGTTCAGTTGGAGTTAGCGGACGGGGTGAATGGCTGAAGGCTAAATGGCTGAATGAAAACCCATTTCTCCGCGCATTTCTCACTGGAAACGGTGCTTTTCAAGCATACTTGCATCGATTTGGCATAAGTGGCGTCGCGGTGTGCGACGGGTCCCTCATGGAGGACTCGTCGCATGTTCTTTTTTTTCACTGTCCGCTGCACGCTGAGCTACGATCGCAACTAACTGAGACCCTTAACTGAGACCCTCGAACCAATGAGGTGGTTTCCCTTACGAAGCTTAAGACGGAGTAGATCGTCTAGGGTTACTTCATGCCTCACCTCACTTTCTTTTTTTTTTCTTTACATATGGTATCGAAGACCGATGTTGGTACTGATATCAGTCATATCAGAGCGCTAATGTTAGGTGGAAATCGATTTCGCCGTGTTGGCGAGTTACCCATTTTTTGACGTTCCTTATAAGGCGGTTAGTCCACCTACCCATCGTAGTCTCGTCCCACCTTCTCTGCCATTGGGCGAGCATATTCTTCGTTGAAGCAGATCCTGTTTCGTTTGATAACTGGCTGAGAACTTTGGCGTCGTACCAGTTCTTCCGCGAGCCAGCTATGAGGTCCACGGGAATTATAGATGCGACTACCGAGATAGCTTCTCTGGAAACCGTACGGTACACGCGGCTACCCTAAAGGCTGGGCTCCGTTGCGTTTTCAGAAGAGCCTCTTTGCCTAATTGCCCATTTTGTTCGCCCAAAGGTGTATTGTGTGTTACTTATATTGTATCTAAATTACGAAACGTTGCCTTTGTGTAATTTTTTATAGTCTAATGAATATTGCCGAAATAAAAGTTCAAGTTATATGCATTTGCAAAGCCGAATAATGCACTTAAATGGCGTAGAATTGTTTATATAAATTTGTCAATGAGCCTTATGAAAGCACATTTTATTTCAATATCCAACATTAAAACACTACCAATGGATTTATCGGATTTTTTATGAAAGTACCAAATGGAAAATGTCACCGATGATATAAAGGAGTATCTTAAAAAGCTTGGAGTTTGTCGTTTATGTACGATCGAGAAAAAGAGATCATCTGCTACAATAAAATGTTGTAAATGAAAGTTATATATATGTAAAAAACATTCTGGCAAACAAGAAATAATTTGTTAGAAATATAAATACGGCACTTTCTCAGACTAGAAAATTTAATAATTTAAATAAATAAGAATAAATTATTTCCAAACAATATTGGTATTGAAAATTCTTTATTTATCTTTTATTATGTTAAAATATAATTCAAAAATATTCTGTTGTATAAAGATCCGCGCCTACTCGTGTAAAATTGAGAGGCGCGCCTGCTAATTGGTTAAAACAAAAATAAATTTGAAGATAATATCGCATACATTATTCAGTTTTAAATGAGGTTTTTCCCAATTACTAAGAAAATAAAAAAATGTGTTCATTAAAAACAAAAGTATATATAATAACATTAAATATATATGATACTATCATACTACAATAAAAGTGAATCACGGAACCTGGCAGTGGATCGGTAAGAGTAAGTTTCAACAATTCTTAATTTATCTAAAAAGTTCAACTTTCTCATCTATTATACATTTTTATATAAGTGACTAAGTCCTCGGTAATATCGTGGCATACGCAGCATAACTGGACACTGCGCATTGGTCCCTACCACGGGCCAGGTACATGTAGCCATTGTCACCCCATTTTGAGCTCCACCAGTTTTTCAAGATCCAAGCATTTTTCGTGTATCCGATCAACAGCATAGCGTGATTGACCGTATTTGATGTACATTCTGGATCGTCGTAAACACCGGATCTGTAAAAATAAGTATTTCCCATGATTTAAAATGAAACTAGTGAAAGGTCAAAGATGACCTTATGAACTTACTAAACCTAATCTAACAAAAAGGAACAAAAGGATATACTTCGTACGGTGGACAGACTACTGTTGTAGAAGTTGGGAAGGTAGAATAAAGAGGGGTATTTAATTTATATCTATACGCAACGGTTAACTATTAATAATAGAAACGATTCTGAGTGGAATTTGATTATTCATGTTTATAAAAACCGTATTATTTAAGATTTTCGTCAATATTTGATATTAAAATTCATGTAGAACAAAATACTACATTAAAACTAACTTTTTCTAAACATTTTTCTCTTTGTCAACTAAGTACAACTTATAATATTAAATCTCCAAGCATTTTTGGTCTAGCAATAAATAATATCTACAGAATACTTACCTAATCTAACTGAATACAAATTACACTAAAAACTGCCACAGTTAAAATGTCTACAAATACCCCAAAAAAAGCTTGTACTTTTCTAAATGCTAGGTCTTATCATAACGAAAAGATTAACTTCCACTCTTTCCTCTTTAATGTCAAAGTTTTCATATCCGAATACTCGTTACATCTAGCCATTCGATCTTATCTCCTTTGAATGTCTTCTATGCTAACTATTCTAACTATGCTGCTTATTTCTTCATTTCCTTTCTTTCTTTCTTTCTTCGAGACCGTAAGAAAGTAAAACAAAGAGGCAACAAAAAAGATGTCTTGTGATTTTTCGATTAAATCATTTCATCTGATAGAAAAGGTCGTCCATGTTTTTATAAAATAATAAATCATGAAATTGTAAGTTTTCCTAAGTTTTTTTGCACTTAAGTGGTTTTATTTAAAAAATAGCACCAAAAATATAAAAATAATTTTTTTAATGCACCATCTAGACAACTTGAGCTTTTAGAGAAATTGTTACACGTAAAAAACGGAGCATGTTCACTGGGAAAAAACGTGCCCACAGACTAGAAGAAGAAGAAAAAATAAAAAATAAATAAACATCTTAGTTAAACCAATAGTTCCCTCGTTACACTCGGAATCTAAAACCATGACGAATCATCTAACATTTTAACTTGTCCTGTTGCTGTAAAAGATTATAATAAACATATTGGTCATATGGATTATACTAACATGTTGAAATCATATTAAAAGTTAGATAGGAAAGCACAGATGGTAGCACAGAATTTTTTCCATTTCATGGATGTTTAATCTGTAAACGCCTACATATTTTACAAAGAAACAAGCCAAGGAGCTATTCAAAACTTTAAATAGTTCAGAATTTCAGGGGCAGCAGGATTAGTGGGACTATCATCATCTAACCCAAGAGAAAAAAAAATAGTAAATCCATTTGAACAAATTTAAATTAAAAATTCCACTTGAATTTAGGTTTCTCAACGTTGGTCAACGATGAACAACTGTATCCTACACTGGATACATGCACATGGATACATGTCACTTCTGACTCACCAATCAACCATAATAATACATCTTAGAATCGGTATCAATTAAAAACATCAACATTAATATACTGTGAGTTTTTGGAATTACTGGAATTAATGTAGCAAATCTACAATTATTTATAGAAACTCTTCATCTTAAACTCATAGATAGCAGTATTAAAACCAAACTGTCTAATCTACTATTCCAAATTTTGCCCCTACTTAATAATGTTTTAATGTTTAATCAACCTATTCAGAAAATTGCAACTCACTAGTTAAAACATATAACAATAGTTAAATTTAATAACACTAACAACAATATGAATATAAACAAATACCATATCATCCAATGGAATCCAAACGGATTCTATTCGATAATTTATTAAATAAAACTCAACATAAATAAACTTTCTCCAATAGTCCTGTGTATACAAGAAACTAATTTTATTAATAACAAATCAAGGTCTCTAAAAAATTATAAAACATTTTTCAAAAATAGAACAAATGCAGTCAGAGCTAATGGAGTAGTAGCCACTTTTGTTAACGTACAATATCCCACAGAACAAACTTAACTTCTAATCTAGAAGCTATTGCAGTAAGGATTTCTACCAAATAAAAACTAACCATTTGCAATATTTAGATACCTAATTTACAAGACTTCGGTTTCACAGATATCCAAAATATCATTGACCAATTACCAACTTCATTTGTCATTTTGCCAGTATCAGACGTCAAAAACATTACTACCAACCTCAAAAAAATAAAAATGTACAAACTTATACAATGTAAATAATAACTTCCAATAATGTAAACCAATTTGTTAATCTAATAACCATTGTCGTTGATATAAACAATAAGAATCATTTAACATTAAAACATTTTTTCTCTCCGTTCAGGTATTGGGACAGAATTAGTATACAGCGATCTTTTAGATTTTGACCGTGTCAGAATTAAATGAAAACAAATAGATGGAAAGTGGGTACACCATTGGAGGACTAAATGTTTTCAATTGTAAAAATTTTAATGATGTAAATAATAGCAATTATAATAATTGTATTTTCTGTAAAATTAAGGTAACCCTTGAATAAACATAAATAAATAAATAAGCAATTAAATATTCGTACCAAATTACCTTAAATCTTATATTTTACTCTTCCATATAAGGTTTGAATTTTTGATAATTTTTTCTTAGCGGATTCCTACAACAATAGCTATTTATGTAGTTTAGGCTAGGCGATGAAGAATCAAGACTTGTCTAATGTCGTAATGCGCAGTTTGCAATGTTTATATCAATTATGTTAGAATTATCGATTATTGACATAAATCGATACAACATAAATAAAACAATAATATTATAATAGAATAATCCAATCTTAGTAATTTAAATAATTCATTTGACGGGCTGTTCTTAACCTCAAAATAAGTCGGCCCAGCAGCGCTTTTGTGGCAATACAGGAAACCTCTTTTCCACCATTAAATGAAAAAAATATTGTAATAAGCATAAGGGTAGAAAGTTGTTCGATCTTATCTTCTAAGACTATCCATACAGAAAAATGAATTCGTCGTTTTATTTCGTTTATTCGTGGTCATTCGGTATGTCTTCCGAGTTCTAACTCTCTGAAAACTTCAACTTATAAGTTTTCTTATCATTTTTTATCTGTACCTAATTGCATCGAATAGTTGAAATTAAACAAAATAAAACTAATTACTTTATTTTTGAATAATGAAATCAAACACACACGTGTCGTGTACGTCAACAGTAGGACAGACCAATTGATACTAAATGGTAGACAACGAATTTATAATTACGAGGTCTAATCGAAAAGTATCGAGACTGTTAATAAAAAATATACATATTTATTAGATAAAGATATTTACATTCAATCTCCTTCAAAATATGCTCCATCTGAGTCTATACATGTTCTCCAACGTTCCTGCCATTTTTGAAAACACCTCTGGAAGTCAGTTTTAGAAACTCCTCGCAGCTGCTCCGTCGCATTTTGTTTTATTTCATCTACATCTTGAAAACGTTTACCCTTAAGTGCTATTTTTATCTTTGGGAATAAAAAAAAATCACATGGAGCTAGGTCTGGTGAATAGGGGGGTTGAGAAACAACTGGGATATCATGTTTGGCCAAAAACTGCTGCACAATATGGGCTGAATGGGCTGGTGCATTATCGTGATGCAATTTTCAACTACCAGACTCTCAGGTCTTTTTNTCTGTCCTTTTGGAGCATACTCATGATGAACAACACCTTGGTAGTCGAAAAAACAGTCAACATAACCTTCACTTGACTCCGAACTTGACGAGCTTTTTTGGGTCGTGGTGAATCAGGTGTCTTCCACTGCGAAGATTGTACCTTTGTTTCTGGATTGTAGCCATATACCCAAGTCTCGTCACCAGTTATAATTGATTTTAAAAAAAAATTATCAGATTCGGAACACTCTAGCAAATCAATGGCGATCTCTTTTCGGTTTTCTTTTTGCTCATCTGAGAGCAGTTTTGGAACAAATTTGGCAGCAACTCTTCTCATATCTAAATCAGTCGTCAATATGGTTTAAACTGATCCGAATGAGATTTGAAACTCATTATTAAGTTCCATAATTGTCAAACGACGGTTACCTCGTATTGCTGTTCATATTTTTTGAACCATTTCCTCGTTGCGGCTTGTTAACGGGCGTCCTTCACGTTTATCACTTTTAACAGTTGTTCTATCCTCTTTAAATCATTTTAACTATTCAAAAACGCGAATACGGGACATGGTTTCATCTCCATAAGCTAACAATAACATTTGGTAGGTTTCAGTAGCCGTTTATCCCAGTTTATGGCAAAATTTAATGCACACTCGTTGTTCAATATTTTCGCTCATAATGAAATCTGACAGGACGTAAAAACACACTTTACTTAATCGCACCTAGAAGCCGACTGAGACAATTTTAATCTAATTTATGCCTAATATATTTTCCCAACATACAAAGTTTGATTAATATAGCACGTGCAAGTTCATACTCAAACCGGTTTACGATTTATCTTATCAGTTTCGATAATTTTTGATTAGACCTCGTATATAATAAATATATTTTTATAAATAACCAAATTGGTATTGTTCGCGAAATTTCGATAACTATTGTCTGTTGGTCGTTTTAAAAACATTGTCACACACGTTCGACAATGTTCATAAAAACAATAACAAAACTAAAACTTTTTAATATTTACCGACACCGCTCGGGACATGATTTTGTTATTAAAAACACAAACAATTTGTTGGAAAAAACACAATTGGTTTGAAAATGATTTATTTTGTCGAAAAACATAGAGTTTCTATTTTGTTTTAATTTTGTCATCTCTGTGTAGACCCGGTATAAGTTTCAAACGAAAAAAAAACATCTCGTGGCTAAACGATGGCGGCGAAATGAATGGCAGCTAAAAGAACTACAGTGAAATGAATGGTGACGAGATAGATGAAGGCAGCGAAATAATAAGCTCCGACATAATTACACAAGTGGGAACTATTTATTGGTCACATATTTAAATATTTTAAAATGTTTTTATTTTAAATATTTTTTAACTTAATTGTTTGAACGAATGTCAAAAATTAATTTTTTATTTTTCTAATTATTTTATTTTAAACTTTTGAAATGGTAAATAATATGATGTGATAATGTGAGTAATAATAATATGATAATGATGATGATAATTAAAACAAAATTATAAATTATCAAGATACATAACGTGTAATCAAATTATCAGATTTGTATAACCAAGGGTAGTTGGTTAAGTATTTTAGAACATATTTGAAACCTACGAATAAGCAAATTGTTTTAATACTATACTTACGAATACAATTGAAATGTTTTTGGGCTAGCGTTTATAGATACGCTTATTGGTCCTATGAGTGCTACAGCTGCTTTTAATATGTGTTCATCATATGGTGGCAAGATTGAAATTTTTGTAACTTGAGCCATAGCTTTATATTTTTTGAAGTGGCACAATGTTTTCTGAAAATATAATATTGTTAGAACAATTTTCCTAAAGTAAGTACATTTTCTGCGCTCAAATTTGGAAATTTTTTATAGGTGAATTTAATTGATAAAGGTGGTGGTGATTTCAATCAGAATTTTCACATGTTTTAAGATTAATTTTTTAGCTTTGAACATACCCATTAAAATTTCTATAAACTCCCCACAATAAAGCTATAGGAATATAAACAGGTATATTGAAAAAAAATTGAGTTAATGTTAAAGGTCCAACTCTAAAAAAAATAAGACTATCATAAAATATAGTGTCAAGTTAAATCAAAACAGAGATACCATTAAAAAATAATTACAACTATTATTTACCCTGCGGTTGTCATTTGAAAAATAAGCGAGACGTCATAATTTCGCCGCTGCCGATTACTCTGTACATTATTTTACGGGAGTAATAATCTCACACATTTCCGATTCACGAAATGTCACGTTAACATACATTTTTTCGGAGTTCAGTATTTCTGTATTCGAAATGAACGAACAATTAATTGAAAAAGTTAGAGAGCATGAATTTCTATATAATCATGGCTCACATGATTATCGTGATCAGCATATACGACAAACTGCTTGGGAAGAAATTGGGAAAGAGCCACAAACATAAGTATTTAAATTAAATTACCATGTGTATTGTCAATTATTAAAAATTATAAATATTATGTTAGAAAACTGGAAAATAAAATTGTATAATGCAAGTGCGCTGCCGTTGTATATTATATAGGCATATTGGTAGTGAAATCTATAAATAACTTATCAAACTTTTATCTACCAACGTTTTATGTGAAAAATACAAAAATAATGTCGTGTATAATATTATAATAACACGCAGAGCAGTGTTATAATAGTGCACTAGGCTATATTATTCACTGTTACTACACTATATATTATCTAATATTATTTTTACACGATCATATCATATCTTTTCGATTCACATTTACTCAAATTCTAACTGGGTATGTTCTGTTTTGTTAACTGACTACAAGTAATTATTTTTCTCTAAGATTCTGAATCTAGTGGTCATTCTTTATCACTTTCATTTTGGACATTTAATTCTCTTATGTTCTCTTTAATTTTTCTTTGGTCATTTAATTCTTATTTATTCAATTCTTATCATTTACTTTAAACATTAATTCTTTACTTTTTAATTCACACTTTGCTTCTTCTGAATTTATTAATTGACCATTTTTGTTTATTTTTCAATAGTGTAACTAATTCCAAGGCAGACGATTTCTCTTTACCACATATTCCTTTTTATCTGGATTCATAGATTCTCAATTATATCAATAAATCATTAATTTTCCCTAGGTTTACAAAATTTCTTCTGTATCTTTCCATGCATGACATAAACTTATAAAAGGCGGTTGCGTTGTTTGATCCTGCTGTGTTAATTTCCTCTGTTGGTTTTCTGGTGAAATTTCAAATTAATACGGATTTCGTACTTTATGCACAAATCCTACTGACTGCGCCAATTTTGTAACAGACCCAACTTAAGAATAGTGAATTTGAGGAAAATGTTAAAATTATTGAACTCCAACTCGATTTATAACTTAAAATTAATATTTCCAATGTAAAACACAATTTCATTTAAAATAAATCTTTAAAAATACACCAAATCCAAATAATTAAAAACAACAAAATTCACTAAAATCCAAAAATTAAAATTCAAAATAATTGTACAAGTCCAAATAACAAAATACAGATGTATCGAAAAATTGCTCTGATTTAATCGTGGTGGACTTGTTTGATCAGACGATGTTTTGGGCGATTTATATATGTTAATGCCGTGCCTCAGTTACCCGTTATTTATAGTTGCTTTAAATCTTCGCTAACCCTGTCTATGGCGGCCCCTAGGTCTATTTCCATTGACTTATCCTTCCAGTGCTTTCTTTAGAATTCTATTTGAATTCCATACAAGGTCTGTCCACTCAGTTTCATTTCACATTGCACACTGTATGCGTGTTGCAAGCTTATATGAGATCGATAAGTTTCTTCGGGATTCAAAATTCTTCTATGGCCGCCCACAGTTCATTTCGAACTATGCTATCGTAACCCNTGAAAATATGGTTAGAGGTGGACTTCCCTCTCAAATAACAACTTTGATAGTCTCCTATTAAGTCTCTAGAGTATACCTCCAACCTGCGTAATAATGCCAGGGATAGGATTGTGTAGCATATGTCTAGAAGCGCAATCCACCGGTAATTGCTTGTATCCAAAGGGTCGCCTTTTTTGAACCTGCGAAAGATTTCGGCTGTTTTCCAATCTCCAAATATTAGATTAGCATCCCATATTTCTTTAAGTAGCTCGTGAATTTTGGTCACAAGTTGTTGAGTACCGAACTTTAATAGCTCAGAGTTGATATTATCTTCACCGGGGGCTTTGTTGTTTTTTAAGGTCGCGATTATATTATCTACCTCCTCACGGTTAGTTTGCTCTAGGAGAGCATGTGCCATTATGATATATAATACTTACATTTTTCTCCCTTATTTTTTGTTCGACATTTAGAATGTTTTTAAAATGTGCTTAAAACTTCTGGATGATACCTTCTCATTCGTTATCAGGTTTCCATCGTGGTCCTTGACCGTACGAGTTTGAGCCTTAAAACCTTCATTTATCGATCTGCATTTTTGAAGAACAACCTTTGATTGAGCCTAAGTTCTTTTATTTTTTGAGTAAGACATTTTTCGGCTGTTCTTTTTTCCTACCTTATTATTTTGCTTGCATCTTTTATGTTTTTAACAAATTCTTCTTTATTTTCAGAAGTTAGGTCTCGTATCATTTTTAATATTGTTTCTATGCGACTTTCTATGGCTTCTTTGCACCGTTCATTGAACGATAAATTTGTATAATAATTTGATTATGATTTAAACTAGTAATAATTAAATTTTGTTGAATTATAGTAATTATTACTTCATCTTGTCTGTTGAAGTTATTGGTTTTTGGCTCCGGCCATGCCTAGATGAAGGGTTTTATTTGGAGAAGTTTGTTTGATGTTTGTTTTTCCCATTGGGATTGCCATAGGGCGTGGAGCTTATTTTTAAGGACTACGGTGATATTTTCGTATGGTATATGTTTGTATATTTGGATGTTGGGGAGTATAGCTGCTTATGAGACAAGATGAAAGCAAATTCATTGCCCGGGATTCCGATGTGTGATGGGATCCACATTATTTTTATAGTTTTGATGGAAGCGCGTATTTTGTACTGGATACTTTGGGCAATGTTGCATTTTGTGTTGGTGTTCGATATAGCTAATATAGCACTCACAGAGCCACTTAGTATTATGATATCACTGTGTGTTACGGATAGTGAAGATTTTGATAGTGCTTCGAAAATTGCTAGAATTTCTGCTGCGTAGATGCTGGTAAATTGAGGAAGTTCGAACAAGATATTTTGTGACGTATGTATGATAGCAAAACCAGTTTGATTTGGGGATTTAGAAGCGTCTGTATATATTTGGTAAAAACTGTTGAAGTTATAGTTTATTATTTCGTGGAACGAATTGATGATTTGTCTGTGTGGTGTAAAGTTTTTTTCGAATGTTTTAAGATCAGTGTTGACTTCAATAAGGTTGGTATGCCATGGGGGAAATGGAGAGGGACTTTCAATGGGTTTTGTGCTGTTGATATTAACAGATATTTCTTCTTGAATGTCGTTTATTTTAACGTATAGTGGTTTATAGTTATGAGTTCGGGGAGGTTTTATGACTATTTATTTCATTTTGGTTTAGGGTGTTGAAATTTTTTTAGCTGCGTATTATCGGAAAGGTATTTGCGTCTAAAATCCAATGGAAGGATGCCGGACTCGCAAGTAGGCTATCAATTGGGCTAGTTCTGAAAGCTCCAGAAGCCAGTCTGATTTCAGCGTTATGTATAGAGTTAAGTAATTTAAGAGTGTTAGAGATTTCCTGAGCCGTAAATTTTGGAGCTGTAGTCAAGTATTGATTGTATAAGAGAGTTAAAGAGGACGAGAAGGGTTTTGCGTTCTGCACCCCATTATTTGTGGCTTATAATTTTAATTATATTTAATTCTTTTTATAAATTTGTTTTCAGCTGTTTTAGATGTGCGGTCTATTTTAGTTTGTGGTCAAAGGTTAGTCCTAAAAGTCGGATGCTGTTGGTTTGTGCAAGAATTGAATCTTGCATTTTAATTGCAGGGGAAAGAATTTTGTTTTTTCGGTAGAAAAGAATTGTTTTGCATTTTGATGGAGAAAATTTGAAGCCAGTTCTCTTCGACCAATGAGAAATGTTATCGATAGCGGTTTGCACGAGAGCTTTAGTGTAATAGTATTTTATTATTTAGTTAGTTTTCATAAAAATATTTTCTGTGTGTAGTCCTTTAAGAATGTTCTATGTGCATTTTAGTAGACATTTTGACTTTCAAAATCTACTCTTAGCATTTTTATGCCAAAATTATAGTTTTAGAAATATTTTGAAGATTTTATCATTTTTAATTTTTAGTAATAACAATTTTTTATAAAATTATAACAACAAAATAAATCTATATTTATAAATTCCAACCTAAGTACCTTCGCTTTATATGAATAATCGAATCCTTGCATGATCCCGCCGACTTTTTGAAGGTACTGCAGTGTGTTTTTTAATGATCCCCCAGAACAGCCTAGATTTCCATATGCCATCGAACAGTCGATAATTTGTTGCGAACTGTGCGACATAAATAACGTGGTCATAATAAGTAAAATGTATGTACATATTCTGAAAGTAAGCGTTATTATTATTATTGGTTTTCGTCTATTTTCAAACTCACCTTAAAGTATGTAACTGCCCTGTCGCTTTGAACAACTGTCCTTCGAGCATGGATGCTATACTGAAAGCATAACATGCACCGCAGTCCAACTGATTCCAACTGGGCGTATTAAATCCTTTTGCTCGCCAATCGAACTATATATAACGATATTATTATTATTTTTTCACTCTACGGCTCATAAAGTGCCTTACAGCTGCTATTACATTGTTCACCAAAGCTTTTGTATTAGTTTCTTAACAAAAAAGCTTTTTGACAATATGGTGTTATTAGCCCTACGATAAACCTATATACCCAGGAGGACTAGGCTGCAATACACTTCAAGTGCATTGGACGATGGGAGTAATAGATTTCTGATGCCAGAATAATATTTATAATGATAACAAATTTAAAACCTAATTTCCATCGTTTTCCGTTTATCAGTTAATGAAAATATAAAAAAAGTTTTTTTTTTTATAATTCCATCTATAAATAATAAATATAATAAAGTAAAATAATTTATAGAAGTAGCACAAACGATAAAATGTAATTAATAAGGTTGTTTTAATTTAAAGTATTGTATAATTATTTTGATGGTTTTTTGTGGTAACGTGTTATATATAGACTTGACATTAATTAATTTGGCTTAGAAATGTATAATATTTACTCATATTTGACAACATTTTTCAAAGACACCTGTGTGACAATAAAATAACGAGACTTTCTAAATATAACCTAAACTATTAACGTTATCTATAAAGCTGGTCCCACACGACTCATGTAATCGGCGAATATTCGTCAATCGTACGACTTTGCGAGTCGTATATGAGGTATTTAATGGTAAAGCACGACGATTATTTTTACTCGCCGAGTCACTCGCGGTTTCCCGTCGGTGTCGTATACAACACGAGTGACTCGTGCTAATAAGAAATTTAATCTTGGATTTTCCCCCAAAATAAACTATTATTTATTGTTAATATCATTAATTTAGCAGTAGTATTAGTAGTCGCACGTCATTCCTACACAAATCGTGCACTTGGCAATCAGCGTCAATATTTAAATAATCTTTAATTATTATTATTTAATTTTTAGCAAAATATATACAATTGACAAATAATCGGCGAGCACACGAGTCGTGTAGGAGCAACATAATTACAAAAATCGTACATTGTACAACGTTGGCAAGTACACTCGCCAAGCACATGAGTCGTGTGGGACCGGGTTAAAACGATTATTGAAATATAATTAGAAAACTCTTAACTAAAAGTACTACAAACACTGATTAAATTGGTTAATTTTCTTATGCGTTAATAGCTTTGTTAGTGCGAGTTCGACTATACTGCCGAAAAATGTTAGAAATAAAAGTCGAACAACGTGTTAACATTAAATTTCGCGAAATCGTTTCGTATGTTATGTGAAGTTTATGGTGAAGAATTTTTATCAAGAGCTCGCGTTTTTGAATGGCACAAATGGATTTGTAGTAGAAGAGAGGACGTCGTAGACGATGGTCGTTCTGGACGTCCTACCTCGTCTTCAAAAATAGAAAACGTTGAAGAAATCGACAAAATTATTCGGCAAGATCGTCGATTAAGTGTTAGAGGTGTAGCAGAGATGGTAAATATTGATAGAAAAAGTGTTCATAAAATTTTAGTTGAAAATTTAAAAATGAAAAAAGTGTGTGCTAAAATGGTTCCTAAAAATTTGACGATTAATTAAAAATTTAATCGCAAAGAAATTTGTTTAGACACAAAACAATTCATCTTTTATAATGGATTTTTACATATGATCCTAAACTAAAAGGCAATTCATGCATTGGAACACACCAACTTCCCCAAGAATGAAGAAAGCACGAATGAGCAAATCGAAATTCAAAGCAATGCTCATTGTTTTCTTCGACATTTGGGAAATAATTTTTGTTAAATGGGTTTCTAGTGGGCAATTTGTCAACCAATATTATTATAAAGAGGTATTGATTAAATTAAGAGAAGGTGTTAAAAAGAAGCGGTCAGATCTGTGGAAGAATGGCTGGGTTCTTCACCAAGACAATGCTCCAGCTCACAGGGTATTTTCAATTCAACGTTTTTTAACTGAAAAAAATATTTCTATACTTCAACATCCCCCGTACTCACCAGACCTTGCTTCTTGTGACTTCTTCTTTTTCCCAAAAATTAAAAATGTATTAAAAGGAACCCATTTTCAACGAGTTGATGACATAAAAATGAAAACGGCAGAACTTTTAAAAGGGCTCACTGAAATCAATTAGCAACACTGTTTTCAAGAATGGCAGCGACGTATGCAATAGTGTGTTGATGCTGAGGGAAGGTATTTTGAAGGTGATAATCATTAAATTATAAAATTTTAAAAATAAATAACTTTTATTAAAAAAGTCTCCGACCGTATTTTTTTAATAATATGGCGTGATATTAGTATTTTATCAGAGTATTGTTGTTATTTATTATATATTAGTGTATTGCACAGTTTATACTATGAACGCATAAAATGTGTGACTCTCGGACTTCCATAGAGGGAAAATCGTGGGTGCTCCATTAATAAGAGCGTCTGTTACGGAAACATCTAAACTGTTGAACATCTCAAGAAGGACAGTATCCACAGTAATGACAGCATACACAAAATACAGAAAAACGTCATCGAAAAAAAAAAAAAGAATAGTGGGCGAAATCCAAAGTTGACTAACACCGACGAACATTAAAACAAATTGTGACAAGACAACATAAAGCTACCGCAGCTAAAGTTACAACAGGAATTAACGCACACTTAAGTAATACTGTGTAGACAAAAACTGTACGACGAGAGCTTCACAAAAGTAATATTTATGGACGGGCTGCAATTGCAAAACCCTTTATTACAGAAAAAAAACGCTAAATTGCGAAAAAAATGGTGCCACGATTATAAAAACTGGACTCTTGGTAATTGGAAGAATGTTATATGACCCGATGATTTACATTGTTTCCTACAAATGGTCGAGTTTATGTATGGAGAACTCCAAAAAAAAAATATACAATCTGAACTGCTTGCTTTATACAGTCAAGCATGGGTGTGGTTCTGTTATGATTTGGGCAGCCATGTTGTAGTATTCAGCTGGTCCTATCATTCAAATGAGTGGACGAGTTGCTGCCAATGACTATCTCGATATCCTCAATGATGAAATTTTTACCATAGCCAGCATATTGCTGCCAAACATTGTCATACTCCAAGATGATAATGCGCCGATACACAGAGCGAAAAAGGTTCAGTCTTGGTTCAATGAGCATCAGAATATAATAAAACATCTTTCCTGGCCAGCACAGTCACCAGACCTCAACATAATTGAAACGATATGGGGTTTCATATATATGTATGTCGTATCCATACCGCGTTATGTCTATTTAATAGAATGGAACTGAGGTTTCTCCACTTCGCATAATTACACAATATGGTTAACATTTCGCAAAATGGATACCTAAACTTTACACAACGGAACTTGTTCTATCATTTGGATGTCTATAACGCGAAATAATAAATTATTATTATCTCTCAATTATAATTATTTATTTAAACCTTATATTGCATACCAAGGGTTTTTTTAGTTGATATGATAATATTCCTATCGGCTGATCATAAATGACAATCAAAAAATTATTTTTTTAGTTTCATCCACTGTATAAACATTATTATTGGTCGATTACCGTCGTTATTTCGTTATAAAAGTGGATATAGGCTCTACAGATCCAGCGAACATTATTGCAGTAGTGATAGAACATAAAAATGATCTCAACCGTTTAGGAATTGAACATGGCATTATAAAGGGTTGGTATGGTTCAGGAAATATTCATACAGGTTTATAAATATCGACCAAGTAAAGACAAAAGAAATGTCAATCAGAGAAATTTTATCATCTTTAACAGGTCATGGCTTTTATAGCTGTTACTGTAAAGGTAAAACAAAAAACTGTGCTTGTTTTAAAGGTAATTTAAAATGTAATTCTCGTTTTAATACTACTCAAACATGTTCAAATAAATAATAATAGAAATTTGTAATCTTAAAAAACAAATATTAATTTATTATTGTATTATTATTATTAGTGTAATATTTCGCGTTATGGATATCCAAATGACAGAACAAGTTCCGTTATGTAAAGTGTAAATATCGAAATGTTACAAAATTTTAAATCTAATTATGTTAATCTACTCATTAAAGGTAGCCATAAGAAATTGAGAATTATTGTAACATTAGAAACTAATATCAAATTAGCATTATATATTTGTACATAATTTCCGGTTCGTGATAAAAAGATAAAAAGAACCACAGTATAGGTACAACATATACATATAATTTATTTAACATGCAGTATTAATATACTGCACAATAATTCTTTACTACATTTATAATAAATAATAATAAAGTTGTATTACCTCCTCAGGAAGTGAACTTGCTTGATGTCTCGGAGAATGAATATTATCGAGGTACTTAGATAATTTGCTTGCTGATAGACTTGTGAAATGTCTATTGTAAAGATGTCCTGGCTGTAAAAACAAATAAAAAACCAAATGTAATCAATTAAAAATTTACAAAACGATTGCAAACTAGAATATAATGTTATTCTTTTTTAAAAAATGTCGCAAGGGTTTTGTGTAAAACGGCTTCGTATAATATAGTAATTATTAATATACTTGACATCGTTTACCCAATTATTACTGTTCTCATATTCAACAATGAGGTTTGCCGAATTAATTGTAAAATATTCTGAAGTAGACCTGCTCGAGGCCCAGGAGCCTTTAGTGGTAATCTACAAGGCTTGCGTGGGCTCACTCAATCTCGTTTGGAATCTATGGACGGAATTTTTCATGCAGCAATATTTTTAATTTTTGAAAAAATAGAGAAAGTTAAACAAAAATGGCATTTGTTTGAATACATTTTTAGGATATCATGTGACTCGTGACTAAATAAATCTATTAGTTCCATTCAAAGTTTAACAGAATAATCGTAAATATAAAACAAAAATAGTTCAAAAAAGACGGACATACTTCGCACGATAGATGCTGCCACTAGTGTTAGTGAAAAGTTGGGAATGTAGGATATAGAGGAAAAATTAATTTATATCTGCAACTATAAATCATTGCTTACTAAAAACGATTCTGAGCGGAATTCAGTTGATAGTAAAGCTTTGTCTACAATATATATATATATATATATATATATATATATATATGTATATATAAATCATATTATAGTAAAATAAATAATTAGGCATTATATATTTTCTTTAATAATATTTATTAGTGACAGCTGGGTCTCTAGGTATACCTAAAACGCATTTTTTTTCTCTTGTTTAAGTAAAAGGGATAAAATAAATGCAAACAATTTTTTTCGAAATCCGGGTTTGAACTCACGATCCCTAGGATGGTAATAGATATCTATAATTAAGGTATTATTATTATTATATATTATTAAAGACTATTGTCGCGTCACGTGGAATCACATGATGTCATGTGAACTCACGTGACGACAAAAAAAGTGCAGACATGGAGTATCGTTTTAAATGTTCTTTAAATACAAAAGAACCACAATGCTATCACGTTACAATCGTCACATCACGTCACCAAAGTTTTGCGTGAAATCACTTTTTTATTTTATAATTTGGAATTTAACTTCATAGATACTAAATACTTAATGGAGTACTAAATTTAACTCTCAAAGCGTGTGGAGGAATTTCAATGAAAATAGCTTTGCTACCAAAACTTGCTAACTTAACCTTGCTAGTCAATTTGTTAACCAAAGTAACTTTTAAAATGATACTAATTTTATACTTATAATTCCAAAATCCAACCCTCAAAACTAATTTTTATGAAAACAATATTATAACCATGTCGGCCAAATGGTTGAGGTCCAAAGTGTAATTGTGCTTCCCCCATTTGGCTTCTTCGTTATGCTTGTTAACGTGGTGGAAATTTTGTTCCCACATCATCCGATGGCGATGTTCTTTTGTTCTATAATACGTCTTATTATGTTCAGCCTTTAACAAAAAATAAAATACATAAACATTATACAATAAATGCATAAACACATTTTTTACATTATGTAAATTTCATCAGTAGCGTATTTATGGGAGAGGCCGAGGAGACACGGGCCTACGAGATATTTTAGCACCACATACGTAACATGCCATTGACGAAGATCAGTTATTGCATTACATACCTATAATTTCCTCTATATTTTGTTTTGGCCTATTTCTACTTTGATAATATTAAATTATTACTCACGTTTTAATTTTGGAATTTTAAGATATTTTTAACGAAAAATTGAAACTATTTTATTTTATATTTACGAAAAATATTTAGATTCCAATGAACTTCGATGCAATGCTGCACTTACAGCACACAATGAAGGGCCAAACCGTATATTTTTGTTGAATAAACAAATTACTAACAAAAGCCCTCCAAAGTATACTAAAAATTGTGTAAGGAAATATGAAAGGAGAATTGAAAGCCATAATCGCCGACGTTATCTTTTTAAAAAGACTGAACTGAAAACAACTGCCGTAAAAAAATTACAATCCAATTCCGGACCAGATGAAAATTATGGAAATGTGTCACATATGACATGACCTTTATTCAGACTTAACAGAAAGCCAAATTGTAGATTATAAACGTCTGTACTTGGAAAAATTATCATTGTCTAAGAAACAAATAAATGATTTAAAAATGAGAACAAGAAAAAAAACCAAAGTGAAGAATGGTATATTGAAAGGAAAAAACAGTTGGTATTTATTATTAATTTTTTTTATTTACCTTTTATATGTATTTACCCTCTATATTTGACAGACTTACAGCATCTATTTTTGGGAAAATTTGTAAAATGTGTGACAAAACGTCACGTGAAAAATTGTAATTGATATTTTGTTTGGCACATTTACTGGGAATACCGTCACCGGGTATGGGATTAGTAATAAGGTAATCGCCAAAAAACAGTTAAAAGAGCTTTCTACAACGAAAAAGTACAACCAGCTGGTTTAATTGTTGACATCAATATGCCGTTTTTAGCAGCCTCTCCTGACAACGTAATCGATAACGAATCATTAGTTGAAATTAAATGTCCAGCTAGTGCAAAAGAACTCGCCCCATAAAAAGCGATAACAAATGGGAAAATAAAATATTGCCTCAATTAAATATCGACTATTTTATTTAAAAAACAATGATAATTATTATTATCAAGCTCAAGGTCAACTTCAAATTATCCAAAAAACTGCTATAAAGTATTGATATTTTTGTGTATGGACCCTAAAATGTACAAAAAATCAATTAAAATTATTAATTTAAAATCCAATACCTTAGTAAAATTAAATTTTTCGCAGGTTTAATGTATAAAAATATTGAACGAGAAGATGTTTTTTGGAAAATGATATGGAAACCAATATTAAAAGGTTTTATTTAGACAACCTTGTGACGTCTCGCCGACTCTGCCTTGTTAAGTGTCTCATATGACATATCTCTTTTTCATTTTTTCTATACTTAAATATTATCTTGAATAACATTGTAGTAAAAAAGAATTATCTATTATATGAAATCTACTTATAATATAGAATATAGATAATATAGAGGAAATATTGATTGTATTATAACTAATCGTTTAATTTAGGTATAATGGTAATTATGAATTTGTGTGCATTCCTAATTTACCGATATTCTGATATTTCATCAATATGATTTATATTATACAATTGATTTGCTATCTTTGTCCTATGTTGTGTGCTGTAAAAATTAGATGTGCAAAGTGTGTATAAACAAATCATTTGATTGACAAGTAAAATGTAATTTTAATGTGAGGCGTTCAAATTCTCACAAATATAATCCCGGAATTTTAACATTTTGCTTACTACTTTAAATATGAAAAGAGCCATTTTACGTTTGCGAATAAAGGGTTTATGTAAAAGCGTTTAGTTTAAAAAAATAATAATAATTGTTGCCTATGCATAGCCCCTTAAATATTGTATTTTATGAAATTGTATATTTATGGCCTACATTTGACCCTTAATCGAATATTTATAATATTATATAGTTCAAAATTGTTCTGTCCAGATTTTTACGGATTTCAAAATTCTAGTTTCCAGATATGTACAGTCCAGATTTTCAATTTTCAGATTTTTATGGTTACCCAGATAAAGTTTTAGGCTCTTCTAGATCACAGGACATAAATTCAATTAATTCAAGTGTTACAAACAAAGAAAAGTCGAAAACACTGCTCTATGTCAGTTATCTGAGACCAATAGTGACTTACGCGTGTGAGACTTGGTCTACAACGAAAGGTGATAACAAAAAACTGGCAATATTTGAAAGAAAGGTTTTGAGAAAAATTTTTGGCCCGGTGTACAATCTCGACCTAGGAACATTCGAGAGGCGGAAAAACGAAAATTTATACCAATTGTATGGAAAACCAACGATATTAACGTATATAAGACTAAGAGAATGGAGCGGTTTGGACATATTTGGAGAGCTGAAGATGATATACTAAAAAAGGTCACAACCGCAACGATACAGAAGAAACGACCACTGGGTAGACCGCGAACGAGATGGAAGGATGCTGTGAAGAGGGACATTCAATTGTTGGATGTGAATGCGTCTCTTGAATTAGCACTCAACAGAGAAAGTTGGAAAGACTTACTTGTGGCAGCTCAGGTCCTTCAAGGACCGTTAAGCTGAAGAAAGAAGAAGAAGAAGAAATAATTCATATAATACATGCAAATTATCTATAACACAGGGTTCGGATTTTATAGTATTTTCTAAATATTATAAGGTACAGATAAAAATAGTAGAATGAGCTGTATGTTTGCTTTATGTACCAGGGACTCCAAATATGAAATTGTATGCTATTATTTTTTGCATATTTGAAGTATTTTTGGATTTTAATGGTACCTTTTAAATTTTAGTGCTATTCTTTACTAATTTGCATAATATACAGTTTTATTTTGCATTTTCATAAATCTAGTTTATATTAGATGATATGAAAAATAAAAAAAGTTTATCATTTATTTTAATAATATTTTATTTGATTCCATAGGAAAAATAACCATATTTTCGTTCATATTAAAATATATTTTTAAGTAGTCCAGCGTATTGGCTTATCGAACAATAAACAACTATCGGTTGTACGGCTAGTATTTATATATTTTTGTCTAGAATATTGTGTCGTACATCAGCGTATTTACGCTTTTTACGTATTTCAGCGTCAGTTCTCGATATCCATTGACACAACTATTGGGGGGGGGTAGGGGTTGTGAACCTCCTTCCCCCGAAATATGATTAAGAGATTTTTACGAAATTTACGTAAAACGTAGTTGTATATATTTATACCAAATTAAAAAATAATCCATAAATTCGTTGAGAGTCACCTCAAATTAATAGTAAACGATTTTGGTACGACAACATCGTAAACATTACGATGTTATTTTATTTGTAACCGATGCAGCACCATATATGGTGAAAGCTGCAAAATCCATTCAAGCATTCTTTTCTAAAATGGTTCATATCACCTGCCTTGCCCATGCATCGTGTATGCGATAAAATTTGTTCAGAATTTCCAAAAATTTATGGATTTTTTCGAATATGAAAAAAGTGTTCTTAAAGGCGCTTCCTCGCATTGAAGCTCCAGAATCGCCATCGCCTCCTTCTCCTATAATTACGCGTTAAAGGACCTGGTTAAAAGCAGCAATGTAATATTGTGAGAATTTTAAAATAACTAAAAGAGTCGTCAATTTATTAAATGCTGATGATGCACTAGCCGTTGGAAAAGTTAAAAGAAATATGTTAGAAACATATTTAGAATCAAATTTTGTTTTTATTTATACAAATTATGGATTTTTAGCTTTGACTATTGGAAGTTTAGAAACACAGGGAACTCTTTTAACTGATACAATCAAAACTGTGGAGAATGCAAAAAATAAATTAACTACAGTAAAATGTTCCAAAGGTATTACAATTTATAAAAAATTTGAACAAGTTATTGAAAAGAATCTGGACTTTAAAACAATATCCAAAATTTTAAAAATTATGGTGGGAGAAGAAATGACAATGGATAATTTACCTGCAGATTTTTCTTGTGAGGATTTACTATATTTTAAATACACACCAATTTTTTCGGTTGACGTGGAGCGGAGCATTTCGGTGTACAAAAATATGTGTTAGATAACGGGTGGTCGTTTAAACTTGAGAATTTATCAAAATCATTGTTTGTGAATACTAATGTTTAAAAATGTATCGAAACCAGTCGAAAAAATTGAAATAAAAATCGTGACTAATAAGTAATAATGTTTTTATTCCTCTTATTTATAAATTTAAAAAAAATAAGGGCATATTTAAGCGCATATATCAGGATTTTTAAACGCATAAATGCATACATATTTCGGTAATTTTAGTGCATAAACTTCCGGGCCCTAATAATAATTATCTAACGGAATTAAGAGTCGAGATCACAAATTTTTAATTATGTTAGCTTTGCGTATAAAAATGCTGCCTCTCATCTCCCTCCGAAAAAAAATAGCTCCAGGCAATAATTTCATTTAGCCCCCCCCCACTTAAGTACGTATCTTCAGATATGGTTTTTCTTGCGGATTACTGACCTTAAAATCATTCCAGTGTGGATCCAAGTGGGCAGAATGTTTTGGCTTCGGATTGACGGATGAGACCCGCAACAGTAACAAACAACCGAATATTAGTATTCGCGAGAGTAGAACACCACTACTCCAACGGCGGCAATGAGACCGTACGAAATCCAAGCAGAAAAATTGCTTTACTTGAATAATTAAACCGAAAAGACAGTTGGTTATTACAAGGTTTTTGTTGCCATAATACGACATAATAACAAAAGCTGGCATTGTCGCCGTTTATTCCAGTTTATTATATTATAATATAGGTACCGAAAACGTTTTTTGTATCGATAAAATATAAAAAAAAAGAACGAAACGCAAACGGTCGAATTGAAATTCGCACGACCGTATACGTGTATAATATGACAATAGTATACGCGAGTCAGGCGAATAGACTCAGGCTTTAACGAACACCGACAGACGGCAGCATAGAGGTATACGCGATTCGAATTACGAAATATAATATTTTTATTATTATTTAATTTATCGCAACGTTTATATTAAAACTCGGTTAAACACATTTCGCACAATCGTCGAAAATGTATTCGCCGACGAAATTAACTTACCGATTTGTTTTCATTTTTTTTTTTTTTATTTTCTTTCAACTTCACAGCACATCGCAGGAAGAAGGGGGTGAAAATCCAACGTCAAAAAACTATGTTGCTTTGTTTTATTTTTTTTTTGATTTCTAAAGGTGTGCCGATTGTGTACGTATTGTTTTTAGGTCATCGCAATAACGTATTATAATAATTAATGTTATTATTATGGCTCGTATTACTATTAAAAAAGCGCATAGTACACTGAGATAAATGATTTTCAAAATTATAAACGGAGAAAAAAAAACACCCAAGATGTTCGATTGAACATAAAAATAACTTAAAATTCGAAAAAATTATACAATATAAGTTAATACAAATTTACAAAATATGTACACGTGAGTAATAACTAGTGCGCCACTGTTGTAGGTGAAAAGTTTGGAAGGTAGTGAAGAAATTTAATGTGTATCTGTACGCAACGATTAACCATTGCTAACGAAAATCTATTCTGAGCGGAGTTTAATTAATATTATTGTTTTTTTAACAATGCATATACATATAAATTATAAGTAAAATAAATACACAGTGTAACTGCACTATTTGACAAATGTAATAAATTGTCCGTATGGACAAATTTTCTAGTAGCAATACTACTTCGATACTTTGTAGTACATACTTCCTAGACACTATTTCCTAATGCTAACTAACAGTATTGCTATTGCATAATGTTTGTTTATATCTCGCATCATACAATGCCGCTTATCTATTTGCTATTTTTCGTGTGGAAACTTACTAAACTTCCTATATTTGTTATGCACAAGTTTAATAAATTAATCGTGTGAATTCTAAATTAAACCGTACAGATTCGTGCTAATCGCGTGCATTATTAATATTAGTCTAAAAAAATTTAACCTCTTCATGCACAGTGGAATCGTATGATACCACTGAATTGTAATACTTGTATTTTTTTTTAAATATTGCACGGTGGTATCATATGGTACCACATACTAAAATCTTATTTTAAATAAGTTAAAATAAAATAAAATTGTTTTTTTATTTTTCCCAATATTAATAGGTATTAAGCCATTTGATTCTCAATTCATAATATTATACTTTTAAGAAAAATCTCGTGCATGGAGAGGTTAAAAAACGCAACATTTCCATTTGGGGCTGAGTTGGCGCAACGATAAAAACATAAAACTGGATTTTGCTCGTTGAATAATTTCGTGTGAATTCTAAATTTGATCGTGCAAATCCATGCTAATTTTTACGGTACTATGTTTATGAATAACTAAAATGTGGTCGGGACTGGAGAAACGTTGCGCCAGCTCCGTCCATTGGTTTATGGTTTTGTGGTAAAACAAGTCATGAAAATTCTAATTTGGGTCATGAAAATTCTAATTTGGGTCATGCAAATTCATGCTAATTACGTGGTAAATATTTGTGCAAAAAAAAGTCAGATTTTTTAATGGGGTAGGCTTTATGTTAGACTGGTGCAACATACGTAAGTTTAACAGGAGGTCCCTTAAAAGTCGTATTTTATTGTTGTCAAGAAAAAATATAAACTTAATGTAGTATTTTTTTTTATGCCAGAATTTTAATAACAAATTTTGATCAAAATAGATGGTGTAAAACATTATGTGGAACTAATCTTGCAATTCCATACCTGAGTTTCGAAAACATTTTTTTGCAATGACCCATCAGGATAGGTAACAGGGAAAAAACAAATGCATTGTGTTTCTCAAAATAAAATTGAGTGATGCAGTATTTTAGATTCTGAGTGTAGCGAAGAATGTATTGGTTTTACTATGATATTTAATATTATTATTTTTTTATCCTGTATACAAAAATTCGACCATATCTTGCTCAGATATATGCGGGCGGCATTATTTCTGAAAAAGAATGATACCCAGATGGTACTTTTGGAAGGTCATTTTTTGATTTTCCAAGCAGTTTTTATAATATCTAGGAAAAACCAGGATAAAACGTAAGAAAAACAAGATTCAGATTAAAATAATAGTATATTGGTTAATATTGATTAATCGGACATGTTTTTTGATTTGTATTATTTGTTTTCAATAATATATTTAATAAAAATTGTAATGATAACTGATATTTGAACTCAATACCATTGTATTAATATTATAAACGTTGTCTTTATATACTCTATAGACAAAAATAGAGTAAAAGGTTGATCAAAACATATTTATGGTAACGCACAGGATTGCAAATAAAATCTATAAAATACTGTCTGCTTGAATATATGGTTTTTACTGGCTGTGAAGCTGGGGAAATGGTCTTAACAATGATACCCAATTTACTATTCCAGTTTAAATAACTCAAATTTCCGGTGAAACTATGTTTTTCAACGACCATAAATTACGCACAAGGTCAAACATTAAATGTTGCTGGTTTAGAGTTTAGACCTAACTGTTCAGTGTTTTTTCTATGGTCAATTGTAGCTCTATCACGTGTCACATGCAAAAAAAAATTGCTGGCCCCAGAAGGTGAGACACTTACTGTAGTGTATCCAGAAATATTTAATACTTAAGGCAAACAGTAATTTAAAATTTAAAAATATATGCAATAACAGAACACTTTTAGTCTGCCGAAGGTGGACTACCTATTTTCAAATTATTTGTTTTTATTCATAACTAATACTGTCAAAAATTTAGAGATTACTTTAATTCTGATACTGGTAGTGTAATTTGATGAGTTGAAACTGTTCGAAAAGAGATAATTCATTCTTAATTAATAAATAAAAACTTATGTTTTTAGTAGTTGATTTTTTTTTATTTAAGTTCCAAGTCGGATAAAACGTATTCAGTATAACTTAAAATCCTTTATTTTCGCTGTCCGTATAATACAATTTTGTCAAATTATAATAATAAAGAATATGTTATTTTAATATGTTTATTTTTGTACATGAAATGTGAGTCGAGAAGATATGATATGGTCGTGTAAAAATAATATTAGATAATATATAGTGTAGTAACAGTGAATAATATAGCCTAGTGCACTATTATAACACTGCTCTGCGTGTTATTATAATATTATACACGACATTATTTTTGTATTTTTCACATAAAACGCTTGTACATAAAAGTTTGATAAGTTATTTTTAGATTTCACTACCAATATGCCTATATAATATACAACGGCAGCGCACTTGCAAAATACAATTTTATTTTCCAGTTTTCTAACATAATATTTATAATTTTTAACAATTGACAATACACATGGTAATTTAATTAAAAAAGTTATAGTTGTAGCTCTTTCCCAAGTTCTTCCCAAGCAGTTTGTCGTGTATGCTGATCACGATAATCATGTGTTTAATCATGATAATCATGATTAAACTATGATAAAATTCATGCTCTCTAACTTTTTCAATTAATTGTTCGTTTATTTCGAATATAGAAATACTGAACTCCGAAAAAATGTATGTTAACGTGACGTTACGTGAGTCGGAAATGTGTGAATTTTCAGAAATAAAAACCGTGATGTCATATGTGAGGTTGATTACGTGAGGTGATACGTGTGACGTGACTATAGTGTGGTTCTTACACATTTAAATACACTATCTACATTTTTCCGCGAACCGTGAGGTGCTATGATAACACGTGAGCTCACGTGACGAGACACTAGTCTGTTCGCAGCTTAAAAAGAACAATAATAATTTCTAATGCAATATCATTTGTACGAGGTAACCGATGATGATACGTACCCCGCGCCGCTGGCGCAGTCAGTAGTCTGCAATCTCCAGTCAGCCAGATTGTTAAAATAGTTTCCCAATTTATTTCTTTTTGTTATTGATGAAATTATAACGAAAATCTAGCATCCACTTATGCGTGGATTTAATGCATTTTGTTACATACTATACAAATATATTAGAATGAGAGAAATAAATGTTTTTATCCACTCTAATACAGATTTTAAAGCCTTTTTGTTTTTTGTTTTAGATTCTTATTGGGGCAAAGTGGAGCTAATGGTTTTACAAATATGTTTTTTTTTCTTGTAAACAACTTTTATATCAGCGATTTTGCTCCAATGCTACAATGATAGCATTTTTTCTAAAAAGAAATTTGACTGCTGAGGTACTTTAAAGAGGTAATTTCTCGATTTTCCAAGAGTTTTCTCAACAAATGTGAAAAGTCGGGAAAACGGTACAATATTAAACAAATATTATTAAAGAAAGTATATTATGTCTGTGTTATTATTTTACCATAATATGAAATATGTATATATTGTTGACAGAGCAACACTATCTACTGAATTCCGCTTACAATCATTGTTTTGTTAGCAATGGTTTATCATTGATTATAGGTATAAATTATTCAATTTCCCCTTTAATACGTCTCAAACTTCTCACTTACAACAGTGGCCCACCCTCGTGCGAACTTGTCCGGTTTTTTTTTATCCGTAATGTTAAATAGTTTAGCCTTGTCTATTTTGCAATGTCTACACAGAGAAAATCACGTGTTATCCGCATTTTTTAAAGTACAATATTATCACTAACAATCTGTATTTATCTTACAGTTCACCAATAATGGGTTTAAAACATTTAATAGCCAATGTATGATTTCCGGATAATCTTCCAATTGTTTTTCTCCGGTCGTAAATTTGTTTAGTTCCATTGCAATCGTCGCTATATGGTCCGTAAGTTGTTTCAGATAATCGTACTTTTGTTTTTGAACATCGCGTAGCTGTATAGGGAAAAAAATAGGCACAATCAAATCAAATTTAATGGAAATTTATCTAAATAGGTTAAATTAATAGACTCTTTTATTTTTATTTTTTATATTTATTAGAAAAAATAACAATATAAGCACAATAGGAAAATGTTATGATGACAGATATACAGAATTATTATTAATTACAAAATGATATGAGGAGGTAGGTTATCCATTGATGGAACCCAATGTGATTTTATTTTATTATGAACTTATTCGAGTAAATCTCTGTACCATTGACGTTTTAGTCGGCGCATTGAATTGTCAGGGGGAGACTTACTCGAAAGTGCGTAAATTATAAGATGCGAGTTTGTTGACAAGCCTCTCACTTTTAGAAAACATTTACTTGAATTGTCAAAATAAAAACTCTTTAATACAATCGAAAATTAAATATTCTATTCATTAAATATTTAAATAAACTCACTAAACAAAAAGTAAAATAATAAAAATTAATTTACTCATAGAGTTGCTTACTATAATATTGTTTTACTCTTTTACTTTACGTTTGTTGTTTTGTGTACCACTTTTATATTTTGACGTAGCGAAAAATATATTAGTAGTATTGATGTGTGCTTATTTTAGATTCTGAGCGAAATAAGGAATTTTTTGGTTTTACAACAATGATTATTTTAGATTCGTAGCGTAGCGAGGGATCTATTGATTTTTCTAAATTTATTTTTGTCTGTCTGTGTCTAACTAGTCTACCAAAAATGTTTCTTCGGAGTATCAAGTGTTGCATCTTTTCTGAAAGGAAATTTTATCTAGTTGGTGCATTTTTTAATTTTTCTAGAGGTTTTCATTATAATTTGGAAAATCCAAGTAAAAACATAAAATGAAAACTGACACATTTACAGCGTTACGTTTTCATTATTTAAAATGTGTATGCTTATATCAAAAATATTACTCTAATAAAAAAAAGACTAAAGATCTCTTTTTGTTTATTTTTTTATTTATATGGTGACCAAGGGTCTTTTTAATTTTCTATGTAATTATTGTAATAATTGAGCAAAACACAATAATATGTAGAAAGAACGAGAAAATTTATATAAATAAATCTTTTATTATTTTAAACTTTGTTTCAGTAATGTCATTCACTTAAAAATATTACTTGAAATTTTGATAAAAAATAATATTTGCTTTTTCTAAATGTGATCAAATTTTGAACAAATTTTGAGTTATTTATAAAGATTTTAATTTTACAAGTTTTTTAAGAAATGTTTATTTTGTAGGTACTCTATGGTTAAAACTGTTAGACTAAAGAGAAGTGTCATAATTTTTGGTAATAAAAAAAAAAAAAAAAAAAAACAAATGAGCAGTATATTAAATTTTGGCAAAAATAATTTTTTAAAATATTATAACTAATATGCGAGGTGTGATCAAAAAGTTTCAGGACTGTTTGAATTGTGCGCCAGTGGAGCGTCTAAGAGCAGTAGGGAATACATCACTGGGTTTTTTAACTTTTCCTGAGCACATCGATTTTTGTAGATTGTCTATAACCTTCTTTCAAATTTGGCGATTTCGTAATGAATCCAAAAGAAGAGCTTTTTTTTGAGGGGGAGGGAGTATTTTTCCTTACGTTTTGTTGACAGAATCTTGTTTGGTAGATGAATGTAACGTTTCACATGACTTTTGCCAACAAATTCCAACTGAGAAACTGCAAATGTGCCGAGTGAAAGATTTCTTGAGAATATAGAGGGAGGTTCAAGTTCAGGTTAATCAGGAACATTTTGGTAAGGTATATAATAAAAAAAAAACATTTGACAATCTACCATAATAATAATCACCTGCATCATATTCTGTTATCATACAAAAGAAAGAAAAGTCTTCACCAACCAACTCCCTTCTTCTCTCCCCAAACAATATTTCTTTTGGATTTATTACAAAATTGCCAAATGCGAAAAAAATATTTTAAGAAAATATCGGTCACATCGAAACAAAAAAAGTTATAGTTATAGACTTCGAAGGATTGACAGTACCCAGTGATATAAATCCGACTGCTTTTGGACGTTGGGACGCAATTTAAATAGTCCTCGAACTTTTTGATCACATCTTGTATAGCTACGCTCTGAATATAAATGTATAAATGAATAATGTCATTATAACATTAACATTAGTTAAATGTTTTGATAATGGTTTGGACTTGCCTAAGGACCAAGTACAAAACTTGTAAAACTCATTCTGGTCAAGCAATCTACTTGGAAATTCTGAGAATGAACTTGGGAACCCTTGCAAACTACATAGAATATTGTGACACCAGTTTAGACTCTCTGGGAAAAAGTTAAGGGTTCAAGTATACAAATTTGAAAGCTCGTTTTGGCCACGGAACATATTTGCAAATTTTGATAATAAATTTTCAAACTTTTCTAAATAACAGAGAATGTTTTAACACCGATTTGGACTTTCTAGGATAAAGTTGAGGGGCTGTGTGAAGTTGATCCCTCAAAGCGAAAATCTCAAATTTACGCTGTAATACGCACTTGCAAATTATAAAAATAGAATTGAAAATTCTCGTAAACTACTTGCAAATTGATGGCCTAATTTTTGAAAACTTTGGATAAATTTTAGGGGCAAACTTCACGGACGTGTGTTCTTCCTCTCTATTTGTCCGCAGTACGTGAATTACGTCACGTAAATACAATAATCTCTTTTTAAGTCACAAATTAATGTTCTGCTTTAATAGATTTTTTTGAAATTTTAGATTCTGAGTGGAGCGAAGAAGCTTGTGGTTTTACAAAGATGTTTATTTTTTTTTCCTGTGGACAATTTTTCTACCAAAAAACTTGCTCTGATTTTTACGTGTAGCATTTTTTCTGAAAGGAAATCAGTGTAGGTAGGTACTTTAAGCAAGTTATTTTTCGACTTTTAAAATAATTTTTTCATTAAATGTGAGAAATTAAAAAAAAAAAACGGGAAATCGGTACATTAAGCAAATATTATTAAAGATAATATATAATGCCTATTTAATTATTTTACTCTTATTTAATTACTTAATTACTTTTATTTTATTAATTTAATAATTAAAATACTTATTTTATTATATTAAATTATATTTATTTAAATTATTTTATTTAATTATATGACATATTATATTATATTGTTGTCAAAGCATCACTATCAACTGAACTCCGCTCAGAATCGTTTATCACTGCTTACAGGTATACATAAATTACATATAACAGAGGCTGCACCCGTTTAGAATTGTTCCACGTAATTTTTTACTCAAACGAATTTCGTCAAAATTTGATATTAAAATTCGTTGAAAAAAAAAAAAATAAAAAATACTACTTTAAGCTCAAATTTTTTTTGTTTTACCACAAAATACGATTTTTTTTATGAGTTTCCTGTTAAATTTTTAAACATTTCTGTTTAGTCTAACAATTTTACCACAGAGTAGGTGCCGTAATAAAAATTACGTACGAAACTTGCAAAAATAAAATGTCTCCAATAGCTAAAAAAAAAATAGCTCAAACTTTTTGAAAATGTTAGTATGGCTATAAAAGGAAAAAAATAATTTTTCTGTTTATATTTCAAGTCTTTACGAATATTTTTAACTAAATTACAAGAAATAACAAAATGGAAAATAATACAAATCGTTTTATCTGTGGTTTTCCCAGAAATTATGGACACCAAAAAATGGCCTCCTAAAATACCATCTAGACTATATTTTCTTTCAGAAATGGTGCCGCAAGTACATATCAAAGCAATATTTCTGATCAAATTGTTGTGCACAGTATAAAAAATAAACATCATAGTAAAACTAATACATTTCTCGCTCTGTTCAGAATCTAAAATAGTATAATAGTATATAATGTCCGGGAACACTAACTTGCATTATATCTTGTTTTATGGTGTTTAACAAATCTCTTTCCTTTTCCGTATTATTTTTAAGGCTCTTTAAAGTGTCAATATATTTGGTGTTTTCCTCTCGTATAATTTTCCGACTCAAATTTTCTGTGATTAACCGTTGTTTGTCCATTGTGGCAGTTTCTTTTTTTACAGTTAATACGTCTATTTTTCTGTCCAACGAATTATCAGTTTTTAATAATGCTTTTATTTTTTCCAACTGTAAGAGCATTTCTCGTTCATTAAATCTGTGTTGTCCAACAAGCTGTGTTATATTTTTTTTTAAAGTGAAATATTTTTTTTGATTGTCGGTAACTTCCTGCACATGAATGAAATAAATAAATAAATAGAGTTATAAATCTTATATCTATTGTTATTAAAAGTGTGTTCGCATTGAATTTGAGACATTTTAATAGTCCCTACTTCCACCCACGTAGTTTTTTAAAGTGCTACTCATTTCTTTTAATATCATTCTAACTCTTTAATCAAGTCCAAAGCCGAACCTGGTTTTCCTCTCTTTGTTTCACCTTCCCTACTTTTCACCTACAACAGTGACCCATCCTGCGAAATTTATCCATGTAATAGATTCTGAGTGGAGCGAAAAAGGTTATGGTTTTACAAAGATATATATATATATATTTTTCTCCCGATAGCTTTTCTACAAGCAATTTCGTTCCAATTTACAATGATAGCCTTTTTTCTGAAAGGAAATCCGTTTGGAGTGGTACTTTAGAGAAGTTTTTTTTTAATTTCTCAGTCAAAAGTTCTTTTAATATATTGAAAAAAGTGAGAATAAAACGGGAGAATAGGAAAATATGTACAATATTAAATAAATATTAATAAAGAAAATGTTTAATGGACATATTATTATTTTACCATAATATGATATATATATATATATTGTTGACAAGGTTGTTACCATGTCAACAATTGATAGTGTTCTATCAACTGAACTCCATTTAGAATCGTTATTTCGTTTTCAATGGTTTATCGTTGTTTACAGATATGCATACGATTCTCGTCTGTATCCTACTGTCCCAAGTTTCCACTTAAAATAGTGGTTGAACCTATGTGCGAAGTACTCGTATGTTTGTTTTTTTAAATATTTGTTAATAATAAAAATTAATAAAAATTGAATTCGAATATAAATATTTGTAGTCCTAATCACCGTGAGTAATATATATATGTATAAAAAACAAACAAAAATTGATTATCCTTATTATTCCAGGAGATATTGTCATATATACATTTTCGTGTGACACTTTGAATAAAAAAAAAAAAATTTAATCAAAAATTGAAAAGCGTTAACTGAAAGAGTTCACTACTTAAATTTAAAGTGTATTAGGTGCAAATGGGTGTGGGAGTTCTAATTATAATATTTATTTTTTTGTATGCGGCGTATCGATATAACGATAGTTTTTCTAATATAGAAATAGACAATATTATGGGAAAATATTTTAAAATTTTATTTATATAGTTGAAAAACAGGGTTATTGTTAGGGGTAAAAGTCTCTCAACAACACACTCTAAATTTACCTGACATTGACATGAGGACTCATGTCTCAATTGAAATTAGAATATGATTTTAAATATGCAAAAATATAAGACCAAAAACCGAATATCGACAAATAAAAAACTTAATATTATGAAATGTTTCAAAAAGTCTAAGTAACTGTTAAATAGTATCCGTGAATGTAATCAACAAATTCAATAATTGTGATTTGTACATAGACAGTATTACGCATTAGCTTTAATAAAAACTACACATTTATTTGACTATATGAACTATTCAATTCTGATCTATGAGTCTATGATCAAAGGCTAGTAAAATGGCTACTAGACTTATTTAGCTACCTAAATAAAACACAGCAAATCCCAAAGATACGAAGAAAAGATAAATGAATAATGATGGTATTTGGTGTGATTTCAATCTCTCATGTTTTTTCTGTGTTAGATGCATCTACTTTCGTAAAATACTTTACTTTAAAGTGATCCTTATAATTCGATATGGTCTGTATATAATCGCTATTGTAGTTCATTATGATTGTTTCGAACATATCTGCGATTCCTTTTTCTTTTTCTTTATTGAATATCGTCATCCGGACTGTCAGTATTTGTTCAGCAGCAAACACACCTTCTCTATGGGTTTTCTTAAAATAGCGAATTATTCACGAATATTATATTGTTTATGATAATTTATTATCTCTTAACTTTATCACTATTCTGATGTGTGCTTAGACTTTCTATTTATCTCATATTTATGGGGTTTATTTATATCTTACGTCAGATAACTATGAAATAAGTTATCTTTTTGCATAATCATTATGTCACAATGTAATATTATAGAAATTGTATTTAATTATTTGAAAAACTATTTTGTGATTTACTACCGTAATAAAATGTTTATAATATTGTCTATAATTTATTCAGCAAATATTATGTTAAAATACAATTACCATAAATGTAAATTATGAAATTAATTGCAATACAATATTAATGATAATAGTATGTTGTTTGTATTCTGTCTACATAATTAGTATATATGATATTTACATTAGTACACATATATTAGAAGGTATATAATTGAATACTAATCAGTGGCGACGGAATGTAAGACAATTTGAATTTGAAGCAATTGTTTCATTTTTGAAATGGGTTGGTGGGTATATTGTTCGATACGAAAATTAAAATTGTAATTTAATGTATCACTGTGTCGATATTATATATGCTGTAGTTATTTTAGTTATATTCAAAGCTGGGAAATAACTAGTTACAAAGTTACAAAAAGTTACTTTCTGTTTGCTTGTAACTTATGGAGTTACTCTTTGTGACTGTATGATAGTAAATTAATGAGTTATTTCTTATTTGAATCAAAAAAATTTACTAGTTAGTTTGACTACGATAGGAAGAAATCCCGTAATAATAATATAGATACGGAATACCTTGCGATCATTTTTGATATCAGACACTCGAGTAATTTTGTCCATGAGTGCAATTCTTTGCCTGTTCTTATCGTAAACGCCCTCATACTTGCTCTTGAACAACGTCTTTTTGGAATCGAAGTCACCTAACACCCTGTCGTACTGAACACACCTACGTTCATACAGCTCGTCACAGGTAGCCTGATACGCGGCCACCTGAGAAATCAACTGCCTTGTCAAAGCTTCGCATTCGTCGATACCGGCCTGCCGCCGGGCTATCAGTCGGCCGCACTCGCTCATTACATCCACGAACCGTTCCCGATCTCTCTCGTACACGACCTTCGCCTCATCCCTGGTCTTTTCCAACCGGTTGTGCTTTGACCTGTTGAACGCCAACCGTCGGTTGTACTGTACTAACTTTTCTTCATAGTCAGTTCTGTTCTCTTTTACTGCGTCAACCATTTTACTTATGTTAAATATAATGTTATATGTAAACTTAGTTGAACTGTTAATTTAGAATTTATACGATATGCGCACAACGAAGTATCTAGGAATTGCTCTTTTTTTATTTGTTAATACACTAGGTAATACCTACATATCTTTTGGTCACTAGGAAAAAATTGTCTGTATATTATTATTAAAATACAATTTTCGCAACAAACAATAATTAAAATACCTAATTTATAAACAATAAGAGTACAAGACAATAATAAGAACACACTTCATATCACGGGTGAACTACTATTTTAGGTAGAAACTATTTTTATAAAATGTATTTTAAACGTAAATTTAATATATTTTAATATTAATATTTTGTATAAAATATATTTAATACAATTTGAAATGATCATTGTATAAATCATCTTGGCACCTCTTCTCTTTAACCTATATATTAAGGACCTACCAGCTACAACTGTAAGAAAATTTATATATGCTGATGACCTAGCCCTAGCTTGCCAGAGTAAAGATTTACGTTCATTTGTTTATGTTGTAACATGAAATTTGACAAAAAACTCATACTTTCGAAGAGATACCATTTCCTTTTTTTTGATCCAGCTGATCCGGATTTTTTATTTTTTATTTCACGCAGCTCTCTTGCAAATTAATTTCTAAGAGAAGTCTATTTATTTTTACACGACACTAAAAAAAAGAACTATTATTAACTAAGGCATATTTTTTTAATATAATAAACATATAAGTAAATAAGTTTATTTTTTTTAGTTTTCTGGCTTCTGGGGAACGTTTCCAACGCCTACATTATAGCCTTCGAATAGAAGCTACCACTGCCGATAATATTGTGAAACATACATGTTTAGCGATATAAAAAATTCTAGCACCATAATATATGCTTTTACCATCCACCGAAGGTTGGTTAAAAATTGCAAGCGAATTTGAAAAATCTTGGAATTTCCCAAACTGTCTTGGAGCAATAGACGGTAAACATACAGCAATTCAATGTCCGTCAAATTCAGGATCGCCGTACTATAATTATAAAGGACACCACTCTATTGTTCCACAGGCAGTAGTTGATGCTAATGTCAAATTTATAATTATTGATGCCGGTAATTATAGTTGAAATAGTGATGGAGGTATTTTGAAGGAATCCAATTTTGAAAAATTACTTGATAAAAACAAATTAAATTTGCCCACTCATTCAAGAAAAATTCATGAAGATTTAGAAGAAAAATTTCGTTTGTATTTGTTGCTGATGAAGCATATGCTTTAAAAATAAATTTAATGAAACCATTTGCACGAAGACAACTAACGAACAGAAAAATAATTTATAACTATCGCCAATCTCGCGCAAGGAGAATCATAGAATGTGCTTTCGGTATACTTATAAAAAGATTCAATGTATTTGAAAACAAAATGTTGGTTCATCCAGATAAAGCTACTATTATAACGCAGGCTGCATGTGTTCTTCATAATATAATTATGGATAAAGAAAGTACTTTAGCTGATATTCATAATGAAATAAAAAATACTACTTTGCAAGCATACCAAGATGATATCGACCAACCTACAAATCGTAGACCAACACGAGAAGCTATCGAGATTCGTGACAAATTCATGATATATTTCAATTCAAAAGCAGGATCTGTTCCATGGCAAAATACATATATTGTTTAAAATAATTTTAAATTTAATTACCTACAATAAATAATGAGTATATAAATTAAAATTCTGTACAATCATTATCACCATTATCAAATAAATAAATATATTAGCACTGTCTATTTATCTTACTATAGTTAGCATATTATGCTATTAGTAACCCTAGTATATAAGTAACACTCGATCTACTATAAAATAAAACTTCCAAAATTATTATTAACCCGTCGAAGGTGCATTCTATTTGTAAATCTTTTATGATGCGTAATATTAATATTTTTTATTTTTTTACTATTAAGTAAAAAATAAAAAAAAAATATTTAAACGTACCATTGACATTCATTTCCTTACTCATAACGATCGAAATGCCCTATGTCAACCGTTATGTCTGCCGTGGCTTTAATAGTTGAAATATTCTCGTCATAAAATAAATTAGTCAACGCTGCAGGGCACCCGTAGGACAACGGTAGCTGTAATAGTAGCGCGCCGTCGATGCAATACAATTCCCCACCTACCGACCTGCTGCTGCCGCCGTCAGAATAATATAAATACGGGCTGCGTAGACGACTTAGCGACAGTCTCTCGGTGACCACCGACTACTGTACATCTCACCATATTGGCTACTCTATCACCTATTTCTCCTAAGGTTAACAATTCGGCTACTGCTAGTATCCATCACCACAGTAGTGCCAGACGTACGAACATATTTGTTAACGTACGAACGAAAATTAAAACGAACCTTCAACACGTCGCACACTGGTCGAAAACCAAAAAAAGGCGGCCAAAAATATATAATTAAAACTATGATACTTATAAATATACAATTATCATTGAAAAACATTTTTATTGATATTAAACACATTACAATTGATTTTTATTAATTATTACTCATTCTGATTCTTCATCACTGCAATAATTAGTGTCCAGCAACAAATCTTCGACTTCTGGAAGCAGCTTATTTAAATATTTATCAACTTTTCTGAAACTGCTTACAAGAGGATCCGAAGATAAAATAATAGTTTTTGAAAAATACTAGTATTAATATTAATTCTTGAAAACTTTCTGTGCCTCTTACAATAAGGTAAGGTTTATTAACGGACGTCATGACGTCCGGTTGTTGAAATTCATTACAATCATACCTAGTAGCCACACATACGACGTCCGTTGGATCTACCGTCCGTTCGACGTTGGTCGAACGCAAGACATGCTATAACGTCCGTTACGATTTGCTTATCAGCGTTATAGATTATTATTAGATTCATTTGACAAAGACAGACGAACGTTGTTTTGACGTCCGTTTTTGTTATTCAGTTTATGTTTTTCACTTGTAGGTAGAAGGTGATTTCATTTTAGATTAAATTTTTTTCACTTAATTAATAAAATGGAAGTTAATATGGAGACTGAGCAGTTAATATCGGAAGTTGAAAAACGACCAGTATTGTGGGACATGTCTGATGAATCTTATGAAGACAGAAATAAAAAAAATGAAGTTTGGTTGAACGTTACGTCTGCTTTAAATGAAAATTTTTCAAACAACACCGAAACTGAAAAAAAATTAATGGTAAATAGATACAAATAATAAAAAAACAATTTATTATATAATAAATATTTTTATTGAAAATAATAGATCAAGACACGATATTGGTAATTCAAAAATTGTAACAAATAAGTACTTAATTTATAATATTATAAATTATTATTTTAGAATGAATGAAAAGATTTATTTAAATTCTTTCATTTTGCTAAGGTATTTGTCCGTCTTCAGAAACAAAATAATTAGGTAGAGCGTCCCGATATCTATTTACTGATTTATTTACGTATACATTATTATCATAATCAAGGTCTTCCATCCCTGTAATTGTCAAAGTATCGTCAAATTTAAAACCATCACGATCACGTACAAAATTATGTAACATAACAACATTGTACAATATTTTAAAGACCCTTTTGTGTAGGCAGTACAGGTTTAAACATTTAAATATTTTATAGTTAACAATAAACATCTCGATTTAAAACAATAATAATAATGAAGCTAACAATACAAAATAATAGTAATTAGAAAAATTTAAATAATGAAAACAATAGGAGACAAACACTAAATCAATAATAATATAATAATAGAAAATTACTTAATTTACAACATCGTTTAAGACTAAATATACATTTCTTTTGAAAACATTACGTGACATAAAGAAAAAATCTACATTATCAACAATAAGATTTGCTAGTTTTTAATGCTCTAGGAAAGTAAGAAGAGGAGCTGTAGTTATTATTATAAAATGGAACATGAAATAGGTTTGATTTTCTTAAACGATGATTTGTTGTATTAAATTCAATCATAAAGAGCNTAACAAATCATATATAAACATAATATCAGCAACCTCTCTTCTTACTTTACAAGATATAAAGCTCAACTCGCTTTTTCGCATATTGTACGAGTTCTTTGAAATAAATGGAATATTTAATTTGTAACAATAATTTTAAGAATTTAAGTTGTACATTTTCAATCGAATTAATAAATGTGATGTAACTAGGTGACCAGACTATTGATCCAAACTCAAGATGAGATCTAACAAGCGCAAAAAATAATGTTTTCAAGGCATTTATATTTTTAAAATTAACTGTGTTTCGGTTGATAAAGCCAAGCATCTTAAAGGATTTTTTAGTAATAGTATTAATGTGAGTAGTGAAAGACAAATCGTAATCAATAATAATCCCTAAATCTCTAATAGAAGTTGCTCTTGTAATATTTGTAATTGTTCTTGTTTATAGAATATAATTTTTCCAATAGTGAGCAATTGATGGCAGTTTCATCATGCCCATCCACATAGCAATACCAAAAAAGAGTTTAATTTCCTGCTCATTTGTGTCGACCCATTTTCTAATTCTAGCATGTCGAGATAAGCCTGCTGTGTTTTTTTTAGCATTAGCATACCTGTTTGTTTCAACCACTAACATGTCAATAATTTCTTTGTCAAAAAAAAGATAAAAAAAGTCGATAGGACTGGCATCAGACATAGTTTCAATTATATCTGGATTTATTCCAATAGTATTTACATCAGGATTAAAAATTATATGACTATTTAGCTGTCCATTAGAAAAATCGTTATTCCAATTATTACCAATCGTATTAATAGTTACGTTACAATTATCCAATAATTCACGTTCGTAAATATTTTCGTCCGGTTCACTTTCCGAGGACCAGTTTGGATCAGCGTCAGTATCGTCGTAATCTTCCGAATATGAGTCCGAATTTGATTCCAGCATAGCTTCTATTTCTTGTCTATTCATTTTCGATTTCAATATTTTATAAATATACAAAATAAACAAAAGAATTTGAAATTGATACGAGGCAACACAACGCAATGAAATACAACCGCTACTAAGACAAACCCGTGTGACCGTGTATAGTTTGTCGATAGCCCGTATACGACATAAAATTGAAATCAGAAATAATAAACAAGATATAAAGGGAAAAACCTAAAGAATAATAAAATAATTTCATGTCTAAATGAGCGATAAGATAATAGTTCCAAGACATGGACATTATGCGTACCATCTAGGAATTACTTTACTAACATTTATTAGATTATTATTAGTCATGATGATTAAACTAATCGTGTACAGTTAATGGTGCAGGTGGCTCTGCAGTATAAAATTAAGTGTAAGTTATAATGCAGAGCCGCGTGTACCATTTTTGGTACATGTTAAAATAATTAATTTTTTAGTATAAATAATTACATAATGACCATTCNTAATAAATTGTATTAATTGCTTGGCAATACAACAGTGTACCATATATGGTACACATGGCAGTTAACCTGTTAATAGATGTCCGGTTTAAAATTAAATCACTTACACGTATACCTAACGCTTCTACAGTAGCTTTCTGAAATATACTTCTCTTCGTTTTTAGAAATATCAACGCTTTCTTTTATGTATTGCAATCGTATAGGTCTGCAATATCTAGTTGACGAACAAGCTGGATTCTACCATACAACTTCGTTAGTGGTGTCATCAACAAGCCGTAATGGTACAAGTGAAGTTATAATAATGGTGTCGTCTTGTAATGCCCCTGATGTTAATTGTTTATAATTTGTAAATCCTGATGTACCGTCAAAACCCCATTTGCAATAAAGTGTACTTATATTTCTTAGTGGATTTGGGAGGCTTTGAAAAAGTCTTTTAGAAGTATGATTTAAAAGGACTTACAACTGTACTTAAAAGTATAAAATAATGATAAAAATTTAAAACGTAATTTGAAAATTAAAAAATTGAAATAAACTTCAATTATTATATTTTTAAGCAAAAAATACGTTGTTTACCTCACATTTCTATTCTTCAATTGTAATTTGTTCAGGGTACACATTAATCTTGTCAGCAATAAGTCGATTATATGAAGGATATAAATCATGATTATATTTTTTATCGTTTTTACGAAGTATATTATATTAGAGTTTTGACAACGAATATGAAATAATTAAAGACGGAGCAACTTCTAGACTCATTATGGACGGCTTTAATTTATTTTTATTTTTAATCCAAACACCATACCACGAATTTTCCTTCTTCCTGTTGGAGTAGTGTTTGTTGCTTCTTTTACTAATTTTGCTGTATCTTTATTTCCTTTTTTCCTTAATGCATATGCAGTTGTCTCAGTAAGTTCATTTAAACTTGATTTCTTATATAGAAGTTCACATTTTCGTCGTTTTGAACGCTCACTACTTCCGCCAAATGTTATAGTTGGACGACCGCGACCACGACCTCGAAGTTCAGAACTATCTATATCTCTTATATTAGTATATCTGTGTACAGACATCGGGAAATGTATAGTAGAAAAAAGCTACTCCTCGTATTCTTTACAAAATCTTTCCTTTTTTCTGTTACTTCTATTCCATTTTATAATGTATCTATAATTATATTCAATTTATCTATAATTAGTAATAATATAAAATAGAATAAATAATGTGTCAATATAAATAAATAAACAAATACATATATACCTGTGGAAAAATGAAGTAGCCAAACATTGCATAACCTCTTAAATAACATTTTGTACGTCATCATCATCTTTGTTTATTTTTAGAGCATTTAAAACATAATTCAAGGCAATTTTTTTTTCTCCTGGATAGTATGTGTAATACTATTTGTTAGTATACATTCATGAAGATTTTAACGTGTAATTATATTTAATAAAACCATAATTAAAAATAAATATATTATTTCACATATCAGTAAAAAAAAGGCGCAAATATGCGCAGCTAATATTTAATTAGTATTGTTCACTAGACTTCACTAACTGATAGAGTTTTCATGGAGTAACACGATGAATAAACAAATTAAATATCTACGTTTAATTTAGTCGATAATATTGTGAGTTTAAACTAAATATATGGTCCACACTCCATACATACCTTTATCTTTATATATTTATATATTATGTAAATACCGACGATAATGACTCAATTTAATACTATATTAGTGAATATTATGACTATTCCAAATAAATCGAAGTTTTATTTTCAATAGAGTTATGCTATAAATAGCATTTAGTGTACTTAAAATTAGTGTTTTGTCAAACAAAAACATTTTTAAAATACCATAGGATGTGTACAAATAAATAATTTTTTGAAAATTAAATTTTTTAAATATTTAAATTACTGATTTTTGCCACCTTTTTTTGTTTTTCGACTAGTGTTTTAATTTTGATTATACTTTCGCATTTAGTATCTGCCAACCCATAATTATGGGTCATGCTTATTTTGACACATCAAAAACTCGTAAAAAAAATAAATATTGTCATGTTCCACAATATAAAACAATATTTTTTATGTAAACTTATTCAAAATAATTATTTGATTTTTATTCAAAAATGTTATCCTAAAAAAGGAATGGAAGCAAAAATGTATATTACTAATTCTCCTACAAACAATATATTGTGTGCAGCAAAAATTTGAATAAATATAATTTATTGAAATTTTTAACAAGTTATTATTATAATTTAGAAATAATACTCAAATTATATAAAATATCAACTGTTATATGTCTATCAACTGTTAAATTAATAAATTAATATGGAGTAACATAGGTAGGTATTTTAATTTGGTTGTTTTGTAATGGGTGTGATTTTAAAAATTCCATAGACTTCATAGGAACATAGAAATATACGTTTTCCACTGAGATCACTAGTTTTAATCCTTTGGGGGCACACATTATTTTGAAAATTTCTTTTCTCGGAAAATATTAAATGTTGGCAATCATATAACATATAAAAAGACACAAATTTACGTGGTTTCACATAGCAACGATTCTTAATATTTTTTTATTTTTTTCCACATATCCAAATTCAACGATGTGGTTACATTTCGTTAGTTTTGTATCCTCAATCAATGGTCCCTTAAAGTTACCAATAAAACTTAAAATGTCAGTTAGCTCAATAACCGAAGTAAACATTTTTTTTTTCTAATTGATTTGGTAGGTATTATAAAACCGAATAAAATAAACTTAATTATTCATAAAAAACAAATTAAATTAAAAATTAGCATTGTGAAATTGATTATTATCAGTTATCAGCATAGAAAGTGGCCCCCGTTAGTGAAAGTAACTACAGCGCCTTTATATTTGCTTTCTATCGCGAAAAGAAGATACCGTGAGAGTATACTAAACAGTATGAATAAATCGGTATTATTCAAATATTGTTATCTTATATTATACTTAAACTATCACTAATTATCTTAATAGCGTATTGTAATATCATCAGGGCGGTATTTAGGAATTTGACACCAAGAGACGACAAAAAAAAATGCCTCATTATACCAAATACAAATTTAATGTAAATAAAGTTTTAGCGAAAAATTAGCGTTCTGGTCGAAATCTTCAATTTTCTCGATGATGGTAGATCGTACTTTTTTTTTTGTTGGGTGAACAATCTACTCCTTTTTTTTATAATTCTTAATATTACTTTGTACAGTGCGTAATCCAATCCCCGTATCAGTTAACGACACAATTAAATCTATGTATTTCATTTCTGGTTGTTCGAGAAGATAATTTTTGTACAAATTAATGATGATTGTCTTTTAGCAGGTTCCGGCCAATTAAAAAAAAAAAAAAATGATAAAAATACTTTTATGAATGATATGTAGTTACGCACTTGTAACAATTAAATTATAATATTCAAAAAGAAAAACAATTACATATTGTGTCTTTATTATTATTTCCTATGTATGTGAAGACTGTAGAATTTACAGTGCTTAGTTTCAAGGTTTTTTTCATGGTTTTAAAGCCTCGTTTGATAATACCTCAAAATATATCACACATTGAGGTTTTGGTTCTTCTTCAGATCCGTTGCACGTAAAGCCCATTGATAAATAATTACTATCCTACTTACGAAGTTTTGTTGACTTTTCTTTATTCATACACGGAGTCTTTTCATCATCAACGTCAGAATTCTTCCTTTTTAAATTTAGCTAACGTTCCATTTTAACTTAAAATATTACAAAATAGTGTTTTACCATCGGTTTTAAAACCTGTTCTAGAAAACTCTTCGACATACTGTCGAAATTTTGCAGAGGTACTTTGTATTTTTGGCATTTTATAATTGAATGTAAATATGTAACGAAACCAATACAGTTCGCAAATAACACGACAACGTATCACTACACACGATATACGACGATGAGTGTCAAAACACAAACTAACTTTTAGCTGTATGCCTGTATGCTTTTATCCAGTAAGTGTACGAGTATATGACAGTAAGATAAGATATGATAAAATTACATTTGGGTATTCTTGTACGGCGATGAAATGAATTGTAACGAAATATACTATAAAACATGCACTTTTTGTGTTTTTGTAGTCGAAATGTATACAAATATTCATTTTGTTCAAAATATGCAAAATTATGACAAATAAAAATACCACCATTTAACTCAACAAGAGCTAATTCGTGGACATTACTTACAAAATAAGTAATCAGAAGTTGCAAAAAAAACATACCAATGCATATAAATCCTAGCCCTAGTTATAAGTCTTGATAACTGTTGGACACGGAACTTCAATATATTTGTTTTCAGACTTACTCCAATGCGTCACCTTTGTATGTTGTTCCACACCTGTGGCTGTTGACAAAATAGTGACACACTTACTGTCTTTCCATTTTACGGCAACTATTTGGTAAACAGACCGTGTAAGTTTTTCCCATTGCCCTTGCTTAAACTTTTTATCTTCACTGAAATGTATATTTTTCAAACGATTATTAATAATTATACCTGTCACCTTTATGTTAATTGTATTCAAACGATCTAATAATGGAATAATAGTAAAATATCTGTCAAAAAATAATACAGAATTCTCTGGAATAGGTTTTGCTAATCTCAAGACCACCGCTGGGCCTAATCCAAGATATCTATCTAAAGGTGTATTTTTTCCTTGATAAATCTCAAAATCAAGTACTAAACCTTTTGATCTTGTGATCATAAAGTTTTTCGTAGTTAGGTATAATTTCTTTTTCTGGTTCGATTACTCTGGTTACTTTAACACAAGCAAAGTTAGCACCGAGAGTATGTATTACAACGTTGTTCTTATTGTACTCATAGTTAATGTATGTGGCAGGACCTAACCATTACATTTTTTTTTTTGCGAACTTCTTACCACAAATGATTCAACTCCTGATGGACATGTGTTGATGAATGAATCATACTGTACATAGTGTACCGCCAAGATCCCGAAAGATCTCATTCCTGCTAATTAGGGACTTGGCCACAGCCTTTACTCCAACACTATGAACGTTGGGATAACGATTACCTACCGTTTTAAATTTTAATTTTGACAATGCAGAGGGGTAAACAAAGTCACCCAACAAAAAGACCAAAACAGTCAAAGGAAATTGTTAAAGCTCACATTAATTAATTTCCTCAGGTACTATTACACTATTGCCGCCAATCAACAAGTAAAATTTATTTAGCTGAAGACTTAAACTTACCTATTATGTATGAACTTTTTAGAAAGAGCTGTCATGAAAAAAATATTTTAACTGAACAGTTTTTGTATAATAGGAATATAAAGAGTAATTCATTTAGAGGTACTTTTTTCAAAAATTAAAAAAAAAATAAAAAAAATTCAATTTTATAGGGTAAACTTTATTATTATAAAAAAAAAACTGTTAGTGAAATTTATTTTTTAAATATTATATATTTTAAATGTTGGCCGTAACTGCGCCTAACATGATCCATTTGGAAGTTCCAATCTTCAATGACCCGTCTAAGCTTTTCGACTGGTATTTGGCCTATGACGTGTTTGATGTTGGCTTTCAATTCATCTGTCGTAGTCGGCTTGGTTATGTAGACTTTGGACTTCACGTAGCCCCAAAGAAAAAAGTCGAGAGGTGTGATATCGCATGAACTAGCTAGCCAACTAATCGGTCTGAATCGTGAAATCAATTGTTCACCGAATTTTTCTCGCAATAAAGCCAGTGTTTCACGAGCTGTATGACATGTAGCACCATCTNTCGCGATAGCGAGCGCCATTCACAGTTACGTTCTGCCCGGCCTCATTTTTAAAGAAATATGGACTAATGATTCCATCAGCCCATAAACCACACCAAACGATTATTTTGTCTGGATGTGATGGCAGCTCTAGAACCTCTTTAGGTTGCTCTTCAGCCCAAATATGGCAATTTTGCTTATTGACGTAACCATTAAGCCAAAACTGAGCCTCATCGCTGAATAAAATGTTAATCGAAAATAGTGGATTTTTTTCAATCTTTTCAAGAACCCATTCATTAAAACGGTGACGATTCGGAAGGTTGGCCAGCTTCATTTC